AGACGAAGAGGCGAAAAGGAAGAGAAAAAAGGAAAATTACGCTCGGCGAAGCACTAAGCGCTAAGAGTTCTTCGCCTTCGTTGCGGCTCCTCTCATCTCACGTGCCGCGGTTCGTCAGAGTGACTTTGATCGAACTCCGATTAGCTTGATCAACGATGTAGTTCGACCGTCGCGTTGAGCTAGAAATTTTCCAGTGAGCAATTCTCGACGATACGATTCGTCGTCCTTGATCTATAATCTTCCTTTCCACGTGTCATACAGAGGGGGATTAATTAGTCTATCTGTGTTAATGAGGTAGTACAAGTAGTGCTTGGTAAGCTTAATGACTGGATTAAGTTGATCGGAGTTTGCTCACCCTCGATCCCTATGGGTGAGAAAAGTTAATGTCGTCGATCGCGAAAATAAAGGAAATGTTATTGCAAAAATCAAGAATAATTCTGCATAAAGATATCTGCTCTCTAATATTGTTTGAAGATGTGTTGTGTGATGTATAACATTGTTATTACTATAACTTGATTGATTATAACTTGCTCTTTTGTTGTAGATATAAGCTGCACAAGTTTAGAGTTACAAAACTGGTCGATTGACCGCACATTTGAATCATATTGCAAAGCGTGAATAAAGAACTGGCCCCCATAAAGTCACATTATTTCCTTTACAATGCTGGTAAGTCCAATGCAAGACTCTGCCTCTTCGACAGAGCTGTTGCAAAAAGTTGAATCCTCACGTATTCATTGCGGTTATTCTGTTCGCAGCGACGGGACCAATGGTGCAGTTTTTGCCTACGATTGGAAAGCAATTGGGCTTCTCCGCGACGATAGTCGGTACGATATACACAGTACTACCGATTTCCGGCCTGATTGCGAAGCCGCTGTTCGGCAGTCTAGCTGACAAATTCAAATTGCATAAAACCTTCTTGATATTCGAAGCTATATTGACAATAGCGTTCTTTTCCATTTATTTTATTCCCGAAATGGACAGGAGTGCAAGTGTCACTCTTATCTGCAATAATGATTTGCCGTTTTTGGAGATTTGTCCAAAGATAGAATTCTCAAAGAAAGCGTTAAGCAACGTAATATTAGAAGTTCACTCTAACGCAGCCTGCCAGGTGCGTATAAATGCGTAATTTTCTCCATCGCACGTATTATTCCTTCCGTTAATAATAACTAATATAAACGTAATATTCATGTTTATAGTTAACTTGCAAAGGAGTACCACACGGTTTCTTAGAACTGTTTGGCAAAAATGTTTCAGTGAACAGCACGTTCGAGTTTGGTGCAGGATTCGATGTGTATCAAGATTTACTTGTAAGAAACTTACGTAAATCTTTTTTTTATTCACCTTGCTCGTGAGAATAACATCGATTCTATTGTGAGAAATAATTTGCAGACGAAGGACTGCGTAGACGTAAGGCTGCGCACGTTTCTCGACGGCACCGCACATGGTCCGGTATGCGGGGGCCAGCTAAGGACTTCGTGCACGGCAACTTGCAAGAATAACAGTGCGTTTAATCATCTTCTGCAGGAGGCTAAGGATTCGCAAAGCGATATCAGTCATTCTACGTATCAGTTTCACATATTTTTATGGGCAGCCATTATTAGTTGGATTGGAATGGCTGTTGTAGTTAGTATAGCCGATGCTATCTGCTTTGATCTCCTTGGTTCGTATTGAGCACTGTTGCACAGATGACGTTGTTATTAAACTACAGCTACTTCGATACGTTTACATATTTCAGGTCATGAAAGAAGGAACGATTACGGGAAACAGAAGATGTGGGGCAGCATCGGTTTCGGTATTTTTGGCATAAGCGCAGGCTACCTGATAGACCTTTCCAGCAAGGAGCAATACGACAAAGATTATACTTGTATATTTTATATTATGCTAGTGGCCATGGTCGCTGACATAGTGGTGTCTGCAACATTGAAAAAGGTACAAAAGAAGCTCTCAAGTGTTATATAACTGAGACTAAGATAGCACACGGAAGTTTGATGCTTCTTGTTTATCGAGAGAATCCAAAATTGGCAGGTAATGGGGCAGTATCGTTACAGAAAAATCCAGAATGCTCTGTGGACGAGCCGTCGCTATTTCGAGAGCTATTAAGCGTTTTCAAAGAAGGAAGAGTGTTGGTATTTGCCTGGTGGTGCATAGGCGCCGGGATGTGTACAGAAGTCATTTGGAACTTTCTGTTCTGGTACAGCGAGGACCTGACAGCCAGCTCTCATGTCACGTGGAGTAAAACCCTGCAGGGTCTGGTAAAACCTTTACTGGTTTTCCTTAAAAGTGGTGCTATTAATTCGAGAAGCTTCA